GTTTCGAAAGTCGAAAAAGTCTCTCGCTTTGTGTTGCCGGACGGAGCAAGGGTTGCCCCTCCCCCATGTATCAGCATGCGGACCATGCAGCAGGAAGCACAAAAGGCGATGAGTTGAGACCAGGCCCCGCCACAGAAAACACGCAACAGGTGACAAAATGATACTTGCTCTGTTTATCATGTTTGCTGCGAGTGTTGTTTCCTTTTCGCTCTTCCGAGTCTGTTTCTCCTCCCTTTTTCTCTCCAAAGTGGTTTCTGTGACGAAGCCTCGCAGCCTCACGAGTTTTATGGGTCGCGGAAGGTGAGTGAGGTAGTGAGTGATGTAGGAGTCGGTCTAGGTTGCAGGAGGATGCCAACACTGACTCTGAGATCAGAACCTCTGCATCTTCCAAGAATGTGCTGAACGGTTCTGACAACTTCTGCGGACCACCGGGGATGCTCTTCAGCTTCGTGAAGTATCGAGCAAATGTCGCAGCCACACCGATATCCTCCCGCACAAACGATGGCGGGGGTCCGTTGCAAATGGCATCTGCCATGGGGATGATTCGTTTCATGAGCCGCTCCCACTGTTCAGCAGCGTCTGGTCCGCCAAATCTGGGGAGCAATTTGCTGACAAATTCCTCATAGCCAATGGCAGCATTTGCCTCACCCTCTGGGATGAATGCGTTCCACCTGCCCAGAAGTTTGCTGCAAATGCGACACTTTGGCTGAACGACGGACTGCAACTCTAAGCAACCTGTCATAGGTGATCCACTCTGGCTCTTCGCCTAGGATCCTGGGCACAGATCTAGGAGTGCGTTCAACAGCGACACCTGAATGCAGGCCAGAAACTGGTACACATGCTTCAGAGGCGATGAAGTTCCTCAGCCGGTCACGCCGTGCTTTTGCGAGTCCAAACGTACAGGTTTTCCATCTCCGCTGCACCCTGAGTGGCGCACTTTCACCACTCAGACCTCCATACAGTGAAGGGCCCGAATCAAAGCAGAAGTCCCCCTTGATTCCTTTGGCACGCGCTCGAAAGGTATGAGCCTCAAGATCGTCTCTGCCCACAACACAATTGGAATGACAGCATGTTGAGGCCCTCGCAGCACCGCCAGGCACGTAGTGCGACTCCAAGACCGTGACTGACTTCCCGGCAGCCGCCAGCACACCAGCACAAGTGAGACCAGCTAGGCCGCTGCCAATCACAACCACGTCAGTCTCAACAGGCTGGGCCCTCAAACCAACCCGCTGCTTCCGCTGCTTTCGTCCAGCCTGACCCCAGGCCAAGCCAGCGAGGCTGAAGCCAAAGGCTTTGAAGGCCTTCGCGGCGGACTTGACCTTTAAAGTCTTGAAAGCCTCCCGGCTGCCCTGGCTGCCCTGGCTGCCCCGGCTGGGCAGTGGCTGTGCAGTTCGTCGTGAAGTCCACGGCCGTTGAAATTCAAGCTTTGCAAACGGCAGCTTGGGCTGCCAGGGCACAGGGGCACCTATGTCCATGGCTTCTGTTTGGCTCAGATATTGCGCCAATTCGCAAAATCAGTACTGATTGGGCTCGTCAGGTTAACATCTGATGAAGAAAGTCAAACTTGAACTGGCTCCTGCAGTTGCTGGTCCATGCCTCCACTTGAGCTGGCTGACCAGGACGCTGCACATAGTCAAGCAAAATGGCATGTTGAAAAAGTTAACAAAACGAGGGAAAACAGAAATGCTTGCAAACTGCGATTCAACTTGCGCCGGCCCGACCGAGCAAAAGCGGCATGTTCCTGCAAGTGCTGCGTCAAGTCAAGGTGCGGTTGCCCAGCCATGAGTTCATGCACGGCTTCGCTTATTTTCACATGTGACATGTATCTTGAGTCTGCCGCTACGGGACTGGCAGTGAAACGCGGGGTGCCGTCTTTGAGTCTGTTGAGCCTATAGCCTCCTGCTGCCCTTCATTGCCTTGAGGCACCCTCATCTAGCTATCTGACAGCCCAGTTTAAGGAGTGGCTCGCAAGAAAAAACGCAGCGCAAGGAAACCTCCTTTGGTGAGAGGTCCACTTCCGCATTACGATTCTGCAAGCTGTGCGGGCTGTCGCAATTTACGTCAGCTAGAACATGCTGGGGATGCTGTGCGTCGAGCAAATGGAGAAGGCCATGCTGGCCCAAGAGATCGCGAGCTGTATCAGCAAAGTCTACACGGCAGTTGGCCTCTTTGCGTCGAGTGGGGTCCCACAAGCGGCCACGCGCACCAGCTTCTGTGAGGATCTGGTGGAGGTCACCAACGGCTTCGTCGTTGGACCCTGCGCTGCCGGCCGCAAACGGTCCTGTGTTTACTAGAGCTTGCAGACGATGGCAATTACGGAAACAAACCTTTCTAGATCAGGATGCCGTGTAGGCAGAACGCAATCACTGCCACTGGCACAAGGTTCGGGATGTTGACAATTCTTCAGTTCTTTGGACTTAGGAAGTTTCTGAAGCGTGTGTTGCTACTGCACTTCTGTTTATATCTGGAATCAGCGTTCAAAAATGACATATCTCTCACTGGCTTACGTAGTGACGAAGGAAGAATAGTGCCTGCAAACTATTCTGCACAGAAAGCTCGCCTGGGGGTAGAGGGAAGGGAAAGAAAGAGTCTGCGAGCTTGCGGGTGCCACCGAGGTCTTCCTCCAACTGGTTCAGTGCAAAGTCCTCACGTAGCTCGGAGACATCACTCAAAAAACGTATCTTCTGACGGGCTCGCTCTGTCATGGCCGCCTCTACCACACCAGCCAGCGCCCGAACCAAAAAAGGCATATTGCAGACATAGAAGCAAGACACGCGCCCTGCGTTCTGTTGAGTGAATACTTCCTTGAGCTCCATGAGCGGGGGGACGGAGAGATGGCGGTAGGAGATATCTTGCAAGTCAATGATAACACAAATGTTCTCCACTCTCCCCGGTACAGCCATGTAGCGCAGGAAGTACTCCATGCAGAACATGAAGAGCCTAGCAAAGCGCGAAGGGTCCCAGCTGAATGGCACACGGGCCGCACGCATTACGAGGGCAGGCCGCAAAGCAAAGTCCCTACCGCAGAAGTACACGGCTCCCTCTTTGAGGTCCGCTAAAAGATCGACATCTCGAATTGGCTTTGGGAAGTATGACAACCGCCAGTTCTGGTTCTCCTCCATTTGCTGGAGAGCCAGGGCCACGTCACCCTTTGCATCACCCAAGAACCGAACAGCAGCCACAGCCACAGAAGGAAGGAACGCCTTCTGCTGCTGGGCCGCTTCCTTTTGCAAAGCTTGCAACCAAGCTTGCTCCTGGGCCGACAACTCTGTATTGCAGGAGATCATCCGCTCCGAGTCGCCGTTAGCGAAGCGACACACGGCCTGATCGGGAATGTACGCAAGGCACTCTTCTGGCAAAGAATACCGCGCGATGTTGGCTGGCTGCACCTCAGCTTCGCATTTCCCTATGGCTCTGTGCAGCGCAGGGAATCTTACTCGGTACAGTAGGGTACTTGAAACGAGGCACTTCAATGGGGCAGACTTCTGTCCGGGTGAGGAAACCGCTGGTCCCATAATGGGAGCTGTTGTCGGCTTCTTCGAAGTCGAGAGTGTTGGCCACCGCGATCGCTTCCACCGACTCAGCTTTGGAGGTCAAAAGACTGCTCAACTCCTCCTTAGGCTCCTTACGTCTTCCGAACAGTTGGGAGACTCCCACGCAACAGCCGTCCTTACATCCTGTCATATGCGGAAGGAAGGCACCTTTCTGGGCCCCTGCAACGGCCCGCTTCTCGAGCCAATATCTCAAAGACACGCATCATGTGGGATTGGCCCTCAACAAAATCAACCGCTTGTGAACTCAAGTTACAAGACTTTGCTGCACCTGCGCTTTCCATCGTCCGCCATGCAGGTAGGGATGTTACCAGCATGTTGCTACAAGAACCAAGCTGGAGCCACATGCAGTTCGGACAGGTTAGGTGGAACATGACCTCTGCCAACTCTGAGGACGGTGACTTTGTGAAGCTCCAGCAGCACCCATTGCCTGAAAAAGTGTTACAGCAGTGAATGCAAAGCGATTGCAAAGCGAATGGAAGTGAGTGGGGCGTGCTGCAGCAAGCAGGTCGTCACGAACAGCGACCTCCGGGCACATAGCTCATAGCTGCATGGCTTCTTTAACTGTGCAAGCACCGAAGTTGGCTCGGTCTGGTCTTGTGGCTAGCAGAAAGCTTTTGCAAACAAGCATCTGTTGCGAACTGCCACAAGGTGTTGGCCACATCCTGGCAAGTGGGTGATTTCGAAGTCTCTCCTTCACAGGCCCGTGAACCTGGGAGTTGGATTCGCAGATCTTGTGGCCACTAGCCTGTTTTCAAGCAGCATTGTCCAATGCAATGAAAGTACTATAAGCAACCGCCTCCGCAGTAGCAGTCATCAAGGCTGCGCCTCAGATCTTTAGCATGGCCATGACGCTGTGGATTGGTGATGCTGGGTGGCGCATGTCTGCAGCACGCAAAGGCCGGCAATGGATTTTTCACTCTGGGGTGCGGCAGTGATGTGTTGAAGCTATCGGCTCTCAGCTCACTTCAGCTCCACGTGGAGAGTGTGACGGCCCAGGTACTTGTTGAACTTGCGAAGCTTCAGCAGCTCAGGAGTGTTACGAACGTTCTTCTCTGTGTAGTACCGGCTGACACCGCCTCGAGGCCCTCCTGCACCTGGCACACCGTCCTTCACCATCTGCCGCTGTTCGACACATTCAATCACGCAAAGCTTTCGCCCCTTCTTTGTGGGTTTGCGGTGGGCTGCCATGGATAGAGAGGTCAACCTTTCCGAGGACACCTTATTGCTTTGCCATGCTGCAGGCCCAGGCACATGCTGCGTGGTTTTCAACTTAGCTCCACATGGCTGCAAAGCTCAGCCCAGGACTGCTCTCGCGAAGCTGGCCCCAACAAAGACGGCGGCTGCAAGCGCGGAACTCGCGCTGGTCGCTCCGGGCCACGTGTCCGGTTTGGCTTCGGCTCTCCAGCTGGTCGGCGTGCTGGAGACGACCTGCAGGCGCAGTTCACATTCAAAAGTGAAAGCCTCAAAGGGCTGGCATTGGCAGCTCAGGCCCACACGGCCCTCGCCCCCGTCGGGCTCACAAATGCGAGGCTGGCGCTGGCGGCCTTGTGACATGCCGCTCACAGTTGGACTTACATGAATTAAGGCCAACAACTTTCCTGCCTGGAGCAGCACAGCGCACAGCAGGCCGCGCAAGGGGGGCATCATGAATCTTCCTGACAGGCAGCTGCTACTTCTGACCAACAGCGTTGCTGATGCTGCAAACCTGTCTTCGGGCCGTTTCCGTCTGCAATGGCCGTGCTTGGACCACGCAAACAGCTGCATGCATGATCAACCGCCTGATCAAAGTTGCAACTACTACAACTGCAAAGCAAACCAGCAAAGAAGCGGCAGCAGCACATGTCTGCAAGGGACTGATCTCAAAGCTCAGTCAAAAGCCGTGGACCTGCAAAGCCTCACACGGAGCGAGAAAACGAAAAGACAATTAGACCATATTAGACAATTGATCAGCGGGCTCATGCTGAGCGTCGTTGCAGCCAAAGGCCAGGAGATGTTGCAAATGTGCCGTGGACACAGCCTGGAAGACTCATCACTGCCCAGTGCAGGCTCTTCAATACGCATGTTGCAGGTCCTCGTCATCCTTGCTTGGCTGACTGAGGTCACCGAGCCTCAGACTCGCGTCAGTACTCCGAATTGCGGGCTGTCTGCGTGCTTAAAGCAGCCTGGAGCACCCTTTCTTTTCAATACGTAGCCGTAGCCTGCTCTGATACTGTTCATTGAGGTGCAGTGCAAAGTGGCTCATGACTAGCGAAGGTTGCCAAGCCAAAGGCGCATTGAAGGTGCAGAGTAAAGCTGTGGCTTCCCAGAGGTCCAGACCTCTGGTGATGAAACAAAGAAAATTCTCTTCAACAACAAGGTTCCCAGCGGTGTTCGCGGGTCCTTGATCTTGATGCTCATGCATCTTAGTCTCCAGGATGATCTGCGCTCGCACGCAAAAAAACGGCTCCGAGACTCCAAGGTGAGTGCCCTTTCTGCTGCCTGTTTTGCACCTGACAGAAGCACTGAAATTCGGCCAGTGAATGTGTGCGCTTTTCTGCTGAGCACGGGAAATAGGCCTGATTCCGGTAAAAGGATGCCTGGCAGTCGCGAAGACTTCCCATGAAACCCGCTTTTTGACAGTTCTGGCCTGTGTGTACCACCTTGGCAGGAGCCCGGAGAAGGTTGGATGAGCCCTGGGGCCTGTGCACAGCAAAGCTGCCTAATTACCCTAGATTGATGCAGTTTCTAGGCCCAGGCTAAGATGCCGCAACACACCGGGCATGCGCTGCAAGGCCTGGCAACAACTTGCTGAAACTGTCAATGTGAGTTTCAGACTTTGCGAGTTAGTCTCCAGCCGGATAGCGAAAGCTGGCCGCGGAGTGCTGTTGTCCTGGAAGCTCAGGCCTCACCAGCGCGAGGCCGCTAGGCCATGCTGGGCCTGCTAGGCCCTTGGCCAGACCAACATACTGCCACAGTCTGTTTGCACGGTCGCTTACCCTGTTGCTTGGCTGCTGCGGAGAGGGCTTGGAAAGGCCGGAGGCCGAAGCCAGCCTCAGGGTCCCAGTTGTCCATTCTCGCTGCAATGCATTGCAATGCGACCATGCGCCTTTGGAAGATGTCCTGATCAGCAATCTTCGGCTTTGTGAACCCTTGCCTTTGAAAACACGAGGCAGAAGACGGTTATCCCAACTATCCTTGCGAGATCTTGCGAGGCTTTGGCAAAGTGCTGGCTGCCTCATGGGCTTCCAAAGCTTCAAGCTCAAGCTCCGCACCTGGGATCTCAATTGATCTCAAACTTCCTGTGATTTCCTGTGGATCTGTGCCTGGAGCTGCATTGGGCTGCGCGCCCCTGATGCCTCCACACGCGCAGCTGATGATGCGAAGTCGATGAGTCGACGACAGTGAAGAGCAACCGCATTCTCGACCATCGCATTTTGGTTTCCGCTGTTTTCCACTGAATCTGGGTGCTTTTCTAGGCTCGCGCTTCCTACATTCTCCCAACTCGCGCTTTACCGCTCGTATCTCCACCTGAGCCATGGGAAGTGTACAGTTACCCCTGCAGGGAAAGAACTGGAAACCAAGAAGAGCAGCTGTGCAGGGTGGCGGGGGTGCTTCGCATGTCGTTCTCTCGCTTCGCTGTGGCATACTGTCGCTGCTCTCTAATCATGTCGGCAACTACTCTCAAGACGGAGTGAGATTCCTGACGCGTTTGTGGCGCTGTAAGCACGCAGAACTGGCGTAGGCATCAAGACCTTGAAAAGTCCGTGCGGACAAGAGCTCGACAGCGGTGATGCAAAAAAAAGCGATTTTTTTCCAACCTAGCGAGCTCCACGCAGCGAGTTTTAGGGTTTAGGAGAGCACCTTGAGCAAGGCGCTGGGCAGGAAGATGGGTCGGGTGGCTACGGAACAGACAGTGATGATCGTTGGGAGTGCGCAAAAGACAGCCGCAACAAAATGCACACTAAAACTCAAGCTCTGTGCCTGGCTTTGCAGATCTTTACGCCAAGTTCGGGGCCTCGTCTCTGGGTTTCAGGCAGTCCCGAGCAGTCTGTTGTTCACGTGTGTCCTATTTGCTGGCCTCTCGCGAGTCTTTTAGTGGTCAAGAGCGGACTTCATCCCCTATAGCTTCAGTGAGGGCTCAGTCCTGCCATCAAAAAAAGGACAACTGCAAGTGCCTCTTGATGTGTGGATGTGTAGATGGCGAAGCCAACCGGCCTTACGCACCTCTTTCGCTAACCTCGACTCGGGAGCTCAGGAGGGCGCAGGAGGTCTGGGGCTGTGGGCGCTGGGGCCGACGCTGCTGGGCTGCGTTGGTCAAGTCTGGCAAAGCCTGCGAAGCCCCAGTTTACCAACTTGATTGACTTTCAGGATTTCATGTAATATCGCAGGCCTTTAGGACATTGGCACTGCGTCGGCGGATCAGGGCGAGTCCCACAAGCGTCGGTGCACAAAATAGACCTGCGCCCTTCAAGGTTACAATCAGTTGCAGCTCTAGCTGGGAAAGCGAGGTCTCTCTCATGCCTCACGCAACAAGGATCGAGGGCTCTTCCGACCTGATGCCGTTGCTGGGGAACACAGCGACATAGTTGTGCAATCGGGGGTTGTGCGCCCGGCCCTGCCCAGGCAGTGCCTAGCTGCTTCATGGCCTGCCACAGCTTGCTGGAAATCTAGACTGTGTTATATGGGCAGTGTAGCGCCAACACTCATAGCAGGATGCGACGACGCCTGGTTCAAGTATAAGGGCAGGGCAGTGGACAATGCGTGTGTTTGGTCACGCGCCTGTGATGAGATGAACTAGCAAGGCGTGGCAAAGTGTGGCAAAGCGGGTGCCTTGTGTCCATCAGCTCCATACTCCTGGTCCCTTGAAAGCTGCTGGCTGCAAACAGCTGCAGTCAAAACTTTCAGACATGTCTGTCGAACGGCTGAAACTGCAAGGATCATGTCTCTAGCATTGCTGAACACGGGAGACACCAAACAGCCTTGCCTGACTGGATGGCACCGCAGCTGTTGTTCTCCAATCTTTGGGTACGAACGTCTGACTTTGCAGCGGATAGGAAGTACAGCTTGCTGAACCCTTTGAGCAAGCTCGTGGTCCGTACAGCGGTGAGGGGTCTTCAGTCTTTTACAGGCGGCTTGGCGACTTGGCTTGACATCATCACCCAAGCTGAACATGTCAGCATCTATCTTGCTGAGTAGAGCATGGGTCCGAGTGCTGCTTGCACTGTTGCTCATGAAAAGTGGCCTTGTTGCCAGAAAGGGCATTGAGAGGGACTGCTGAGTCATGAGGCTGAGCGAAGCTTCTCAGACAACTCCCAGTCTTTGCCTGCAAATTCGAAGTCGCTTTATGATGTTTGTGCGGTAACGTAGACTTTGAGATTCCAGCGCAGACGTGAAAGGATGGCGCGCTCCGAACCTGGCATCGCAAAAAGTGGGTTCGGCGATCCAGAAGCTTGTCCAAGGGTCTGGCTCTCCCTTGGCTTCTTTCTCCAGCCATAGGCCTGAGCATGTGTGAACATGTCATCAAGTCCATGAAGCCTTGGGAAGTCGCGGGCACAACGTCGCACTCTGATCCGAGCTGGCCTCGCAGCAAAGTCACCTTTCGCGACGTGCAGGTTTTTGGGGGTCAGGCCTCTTGCCGGTCGCATCATCTACGAGGATCTCAAGTCCTGCCAGCGAAGACCACGCACGGTCTTTAAACCAACCAAGCAGAATGCAAGAAACAGAAAGCTGACGAAAACGGAAAGTATAGTAGTATAGTAGCCAACTCTGCTTTTCGTCACAGCAAAGATGTAAGTCATCCAGTCTTCATACCTCACCCGTCCTCCTTCCAGCAGACCCTCGAAACCAGCCCCAGGCCTTAGAAGCCATGACTCACGCGTGACAAACCTTATGACAAACGCTGTCGAGAGCGAAGCTGGCGACTCCCCGGCGGCATAAACCTCGAATCTCAGCTCATCTCCTCTCGCACTTTCCTCAGGCTCTGTTCCCTCATCTTCCCTTGTTTCCATCCCCGTCTTTCACCATGTTTGCTCGCAAGTGCCTCTCTCGCTCGTTCTATCTTTCTTTGCTGAATTTAGTTGACACGGTCGGCAAACAGATTTGCCGATCTTGACTGTACAGTATGCAGCGAGCTGCTGTCTGGACCAACCATAAGTGAAATTTAAGGATAAATGGAGATCAGTTAGGGCCTAGTAAATTTCAGAAGAACTGACTTCCAACGTTCATGACTTGTGTGAGGTTGTTGGATGAAAGATTTCAATCAGCGAATTTTGCCTTTCAATCGGAAAAAAATGTGAAGGCCTTGAACTTGCAGTTTATCAACAGACTAGGATTCACGAGCTGTGCAACCTAAACAGAAGATCGCGTGGTCTGCCAACGGCGGCTGGTGCTGAAATCGGTGCTTCACGACCTTTGGAACCTGCTTCCAAGTCTGCTTGACTGCAGGGACATTTATATGCCAGATTTCCAAACGCCGGAATTGGAAACATTACGGCACACTGGAAAACAGGCATGGACGTGGGAAAGCTATTGCTACGTATCGCTACCGGGCTACCGAGCTGGGCTGCGAGTTCTAGGGTCAAGAGGAAGAACCCAAGGCACGCAACAACTCACGGCACGCGCGCAAGTCTGAGCCCCAAGATGCCACAAGCGCTGAAACCTGAACTTCCTCCAACCCAAGTCCCCATTATTTAAGGCCTTATGCAGACCCACATCCCAGGACTGAAGCTTTTAAGATACTTCCGGCACCTCGGCTCTGCAGAGTGAAGGTCAGACCAGAGGCTGCTGGTTAGGAGGCCGCAGGCCACCATGAGGTGCTTCACAAAAGCACGACAGAGGCTGAACTCTATACAGTTCACAGGAGAAACCCCAGAAACCCTCCGAACTTGTCATATCCTTGGTTTCCCCTAAGTGCCACCGTGCACTGAGACCCGTCAACCTTGCCTTTTGCAGATGGTCATGAAGGCAACGTGACTGAGAAAAGAAGCTGCGAAGTCAGTTGATCGAGGCTGAGCCTGCAACTTGATGCAGGAACCCAACGGCGACTGACGTACCTGCAACAAGAAGACGTGCTCATCGTCTTGCCAAACAGTCAGCATTTGGGCAAGACGATGCCTCAACGGGAGTCTTCAGACCGACCTTAGCATCCACGCAAAATGCAAGAATTCAATGGTCTGTCAGACCGACCTTCTTCATGGCGGCACCGTTCTGGTTGGCTCCTCGGCAGTAGTTGAACCTCAGGTTGAACATGCAAGGCTCCAAGACTCTCTAATGTCTAGTCCACTCATCGCTGTAGCAATCCAGACGACAGCAATCTCAATAGGTCCAAAAGGTCTTTGTAAGCACTAGAAATCTGAAGTCATGACAGGGATGAGCTTGCAAATGCTTGGGGGGCCTCCAGGATGCCTTCGGATGACTAGCCACAGACATCAGCCCACGCTGGCAGCCTGTTGAATAAGTTGACCTCCCGCATCATAGGCCATAGGCCCGTATCGCTCTATCCTCGCCTCTTGCTTCTTTCCATTGCTCTTTCCTCTTCCATGCTGCATCTAGCGCCTCGATTCCACGCTGATGTCCGTCGCTGACTTGTTCGCTCTTTGTCCGGTGAAACCCATGCGCGTGCTCGGATCACGGTGAACCGGATTCCATGGAACGTTTCCATCAGCTTTCGGCAAACAGCAGAAGATTTTTACTCACAAGCACATTTCCTCGGTACACACAAAATGCCTCTCGTCTGTTCAGCTTGCATGATCATTTCGCACATTCCACTATCTTTTGCGTTCAGTTAGTGGTTTAACTGTTTCACAGGCTTATCCCATCGGTTGTCCCATCCAACGAGCTTCCGTAGCTTCTTTACAGATGATTCTTGGCCATTTCCACTGCACATGAGCAGTGGTCTAACCGCTCGGCACGGTCAAGTTGCGACATTGCCATGAGGTAGCCGTGTTGAGCTTGACTCTAGTATGACTTTGTGAAATTACTTCGGAGGTGTAGCATAAGTGGG